TGAGGGGATGGGGGGTCCCTAAGGGGATGAGTGCCATGCCCAGGGGTTCCTGAGGGTATGGGGGAACCATTTCTGGGGATCTGTGAGGGGATGGGGGTCCCTGGTCACTGAGCAGATGGGGTGTCCATGTCTGGGGGGCTCTGAGGGGATGGAAAGGCCAAGTCTGGGGATCCCTGAGGGATGGGGGCTCCCTGAGCTCTGCTGGAGATCCCTGAGGGATCATGCTCAGGGTGCTGAGGAGATGATGGGTCTTGCTATTTTCTAAGTATCAATTGTTCATTCTTTTCCAGCATTAAAATCCATTAAAAACCCTTATTATCCTTGTAGTTGCTTCTAAATGTAAAGGGCTGTGAAAGAGGGCTCCTCACAGCATGGTTTTTCAGTCCCTTCCTTTTTTAGTGACTAGGCTTGCCAGTGAGGCTGGGGCATATCTTAGGTAGTTCCTGTGTCATCCTGATGGAATAGGGTTTTTTCTCTGCAGGTACGTGGTACTGACCACGAAGCATCATGAAGGCTTCACCAACTGGGGGTCGCCTGTGTCCTGGAACTGGAATTCTCTGGATATGGGGCCCCACCAAGATCTTGTGGGAAAGCTGGGACAAGCCCTCAGGGAGAGGTATGACACTGCCAAACTCTGCTCTTCCTTTTATCTGTGTGCATCAAATTCTCCTGGCTGTTCTTGACAAACAGCAGAAAACAGTGAGTTTAATATGAAGAAAAAGAAGTGCTTGCAAAGTCATGAAATCTGTGAAATAATAATGCCAGTAATCTGATCTGCCACTGGTTCTTAATCCCTACTGCCAGCCTAACTCTTTCCTCTGTGTTTTCTGTCCCTCAGCAACATACGCTATGGACTGTATCACTCTCTGTTAGAGTGGTTTAATCCACTCTATCTAGCTGACAAAAAAAGTGGCTTCAAGACCCAAGACTTCGTTACAAAGAAGACAATGCCAGAACTTTATGATCTTGTCTTAAAGTAAGAACTGCAACCCGTTAGGAATCAAGAGCATTTCCTGGTTTCAGTACTGTAGAGAAAGATGCAAAGTGGGTGCAGAGAAGAGAGGTGGCAAATGTTAATTTTTGCCAAGGCAAATGTGTTTACTTATCGGTAATGATTTGTGGTAATTAGAAAAGGGATTCACGTTTGCCCTGTGGACAGTCTGACTTGCAGAATAAGATAGAGACAATTTTTTCATGCAAGAGCAATTCCCTTTAATACTGCCTTTGTGCAGGGTGGCTCTGAAAGTGGAGCAAGCTGCTTAGTATGTGGTAGAGTAGAAGACTTGCCTTGCTTCCCCTTGTTGACAGAAATACGAGGCTTGGACACATGTTGCTCAGAATGGCCATAGTCCCAGGTAAAGAATGTGCCTTGTAATTACCTTTGAGATGCAATCTTCTGGGTTTTGGAAGAATTGCATCGTCTCTTGAGCTGTCATCAACACATCATTCTTTGCTGCTGCAAGAACCTTACTTGTTTTGTAAGTTTTATCTGAAGCAGAAAGTGATGGCCTAAACCTTCTGGTAATGTCAGGCAATATTCCTATTTCCTAGTGAAACTAGACTCCAGATGCAAGAAACACAGTGCTTCCTTTGTGGTAGGAGGAAATAAGCCATTTTGAAATAACATTCATCTCTCTGTTAGATATAAACCAGATTTGATTTGGTCGGATGGAGACTGGGAAGCTCCAGCGTCATACTGGAATTCTACCTCTTTCCTTGCCTGGCTTTATAACGATAGTCCTGTCAAGGTATTGCTTTCAGAGAGGGATTTGGCCTCTGGAGGGTCCTCTCTCTCTTTCCTTTGATTACACAGGAGGTTTTACGTACTTGCCTCCTAACTTAGATGCCTTTGCTAACTTAGGAGGGATGAATGCAAGCTGAAAAGTCTGAGACAAAACATTCTCCCTACCGAGCTGAGTTTCTTCTTTCAGGACACTGTTGTCGTTAATGATCGTTGGTGTAATAACTGCTCATGCAGTCATGGAGGCTACTACAATTGTGCTGACAAATACAAGCCAGGGACCCTGCCAACTCACAAGTGGGAGATGTGCTCCTCCATTGACAAGCTTTCCTGGGGCTATCGAAGCAACATGAACGTTGCTGAGTTAATGGACGAAGCAAGTATCATTGAGGTAAGAAATCTGAAATCAAAATAATAGGCATGGGGGAGTTACTGAGAGTTAGAGGTTTCCCTCATCCTTCTGCTTGCAGAAGGAGTTGTCATGTGTTTCATACAATCAGGCTGGAGTTAAAGGAGGACAAAGCCCTCCTCAGGTGTCTTTATTTTCAGAAGAGAAGATAATTCAGTTTGTTACCTTGGTTTACAGGAACTAGTGCAGACTGTGAGTTTTGGAGGCAACTACCTTCTCAATGTGGGACCTACAAAAGAAGGGGTGATCGTTCCCATCTTCCAAGAAAGACTTCTGGCCCTTGGGAGGTGGCTGGACACTAATGGGGAGGCAATTTATGGATCGAAGCCATGGAGAGTACAGATGGAGAACAGCACAGACACGGTCTGGTAAGGACCCCACTGCTCAGTGCCATGTGGGCTGGGACTTCCAGAGCTGATATTTATTTATTATTTGTTCATAAATTTGGTACACTCTGAAGTGTTGCCATCAGGTGCAGATGGCATTTAGGTAATATTCTACAATTGGAGTGCTCAGTTACTGCCCCAGGGTGTTATCTAAGGAATATCTTGCTGGAAAGAAGAGAATGAAAATCAGGACTTCATCCATCTTGCTTGATTTGGAAAAAACCCAACTCTTTCTTTAAAAAAAATTCCATGCTGCTGTCATTAGGACTGTTGAAGTAGTGGTCCTGGCTAGTTTGAATTGCACAAATGTAGTTCATGTAAACACATAGAGCGTGTAAATGTAGCGATATTTGCTTTTAAGCAGTTGTATAATAGTACTAATTACTGTTACTCAACTGTTGGATTTATACTGACTGAGAAGGACAAAGTGAGTCAAGAGCCAGAAATGCTACAAAATGGAGTTGGTTTTTTTTCCCCCAAGTGTGTTCAGTCTAGAAATGCAGTGCAGTGATCAGGATAAGGCAGCATATCTGCTCTGCTGACCACAAGCTGAGGCGAGGACAGGTCGGCAAATGACATTTGCTTTTAGGAAGCACACACGGACTTTGTTTGGGTTTCATCAGTCAGTGCTGACTGGCTAAACGGTGGGTCCAAAGTGACAGATTTTGGAATGAGGGGAAAGTAGGTGACCCCTGTACGGTGACAGCAGGCGATGTGTTCTTGTACTGTCTGGAAAGGTCAAGCTCGTGTCTGGTTCTCTCTCTTATGGGGCTCTTCACCTTGCCAAACTCTTCCTCTCTTAGGTACACTTCTAAGGGACCAGTTGTCTATGCCATCTTTCTGCTCTGGCCTCAGGACAGCGTTCTGGAGCTGTCCACACCCATTCCATCCCCGGCCACACAAGTAAGAAACTTGAAAAAAAAGATAATGCACTCTGAGAGCCCACCTTGGGCACACGTGGGCTGGGAAGGTCCAACCTGACTTCACTTGGAAACTGGGGAGAGTGGGGAAGTTGTCATCACGTACTTCTTGTTCTAGGGTGCTCTGGCCTCCCTCCAGATCCTTGCAGGTTATTCTCCAGGCTTTAGCTCACTGTTAACACAGAATATTGGATAGAACTTGCCAGGACCGGCTCACAGTCTGCCATGGAATAGCCAGAGGCGCTTCTGCCCCACCATCTTTTGATCCTATTGGCATAGGGAGGTGAAGTAAATAACAAGCCTTACACATAGGAGGGATCACTGGTATTGCATCTCAAATTCAAATCAGGTACACTGACCTGCTAATTGTAAATGTAATTGTAAGTGACGCAAATGCTGGAGTGCCCTTTGCTCTAAACAAACAGAGGTAAAGCCTTCTTAGTTAAAAAAAAAAAAAAACACAACACACCAACCAAAAAACACCCACCCGTCCCCAAAAAGTTACAGGCAAACGTTTGGCCCCAAAATATCCCGTGTGTTACCTTTCGTGTGCTAGGAGCGATGGGTGGAAATGTGCGGGATTGCTTTGGATGTGTGGGAAATGCTGTACAGAGACTGCAAACGTGTTTTGGGTGTACTGGGGTGTTCAGATGGGAGAGAGCTACAACTGAGCATTTCCCCTGCCCTCTGCAGGTGACGATGTTGGGCTTTGCAGGGACTCTGGAGTGGCAGAAGTCCCCAGGTAAAGGACTGCTCATAACTTTGCCCTACATGCTTCCATCTCCTCTACCTCCTCAGTCTGGCTGGACTGTCAAGCTTGAGGGTGTGAAGTGATGGCTGCGGGATGAAAGCAGCAATCTCCCCCGCCTTTCTTTTAAATTGAGTCTGAGCAGATTTTTCATTTATTGTTGAATAAATTGTTTTTCTTTTAAGAGAATCTCTGTTCTAATCCCTTTTGCCCGTAAGTGATCTGTGTATCAGTGGACCCTGTTTGGCAGCAAAGGACTGACCTCTCCGCTCAGCAGTGGCAAGTCGGGATGTCTTTTGCAGCATTCTGCAGCGAGCCAAACATCTAAACTTGGAACAGCAAGGTTTTTTGATGTAAAGCTGGGCTTCTCGGGGGATGTTACTGCTGTGATCATAGGTGACGATGTCAGACAGACTCAGGGTTAGCGTGGGGCAGCTAAGAGGACCTGCACTGGGGTGTCAGGCCAGGCTGCGTGGCCCCCAGGGGTTAGCAGCCCAGGGGATGTGTATCTGCTAGGGAGGAGATGCTCACGTTAATGCTGAGAGGGTTTGCCCTTGTTAGAGCAGCTCACAGGACGTGGAGTGGCGGGAGCGGTGTCTGTGTTCACGTGAGTATAGCTAGTGCAGCCGGCCACGCACAGCAGCAGGGCCTGCACCTCCCAGGTGGGATCAGGCCCTGCCACTTCCCTGGCTTAATTACTCATAAAAATTAATTTTGATAAGCAATGTGATACTCTCATATGTGGAATCACGAAGCCTTGCATGTGATGGGCATGTTCTAATGAAGACCAACCACAGTACCATTGCAGATTCCTGCCTATGATATACTTGCATCCAAATAGGTACTCGATGAGGCGTTGTATGACTTTGGTATTGATTGAAACAATTACAAGCACATACTTCCATCATGAATAAATATAATGGATGCTTGTTGTTTGAAGAGGTCTAGAAGAAATCAGCTATAGAAAATCATAATTAAATCAAATCCATTAACTTTGATTTATATTCTGGTGGAGACAGCTATAAGCAGAGGAGTGTTTGTTCTTAAGTGAATTTAACAGAGAAGTCACCGTTTGGAATTCAACCTCTCACTTCTATTTCAGTGAAATAGGATTTCCTGCGTCGATGTTGAACTTCTCTAAAAAGGGTTGAACAATATGTGCTTAAATGATGAAACTCCTCACAATAGCGTACGTTTCTGCAGCACAGTTGTCGTGCAGGCCCCACAACGTTGCACACAGGCTTTATTTTGTTACTGTATGACATGGCGCAAACCAAAATTGCCAGAACATTTTGAGGTTAGCCCAAGCTAAGCCCCAGGGCTGGGACATGTGCTGAGCTGCTGTTACTCAATTGACAAATAACGATCTGTACTGACGAATCCGTGTGGACTTCAGAGAACTGGCACTGACAGCCAGATCCACTCACTCACGGGAGCATCACCCCGGCTGCGCTGATGACGCCATTACGAGCACGGGGGGGGAAGGGACAACAGAGCGGTGGCCTTTTTGTCTCCCAACCCATCACGCTGGTAACCTCTAGTGCGGGGAGGGGGCCCGTCCAAACCAAACACGCCGTGTTTATTCAGCGGCACGAGCCAGCGGAAAAGCTGTCGTATAAGTGCGCGGCTCCCGAGCGGCCGCGCAGTGCCGGCGTCGGAGGGAAACATGCCGCAGTGCGCCACCGGATCGCTGTCGCGGGACGGCCCGCGGGGACAGGTACGAGTTGGGTGTCTC